GATGGATGGATGATGGATGTGTGTTTGAACTGGTTCCATCCTGTCTGCTTGCGTGGTGTTTGTGGGCGTTTCTCAGTTTTGGCTTCAGATGGTTCAGTTTATTCATAAAGCACCGAGTCACAACAACTCAGGGACTTTACAGGAACATTCAGAGACATCAGTTAGTAACGTTCTCTACGGAGGAGGACAAATAGTCAACAGTGCTATGTAACATTTATAAACCGTTGTCTTGGCAACAGCAAATAAATTGTTTTTGTTTTATTGTATTTTTTATTTTATTTCTGTAAGAACATGCGTGTTGAACTGGACCCACCTGTTCTTTGTCCAGGTCTCTTGGTTTGCACCACCAAGGTCCAGTTCTTGAAGAACCGGAGGAGCTTGCAGTGATTTCTTTGTTTTGTTGTTGTTCAGCTTTTAGACCTTTGACAGTAACCCCCCCCCCCCCCACACACACACACACACACACACACACAAAGGTAGAGAAGACACTTCTCTGTTCTGCAGCACCCTGGTCTTATATCAGCTCTTTGGAATGGCAGTGCAGAGGTAAATAAGGGAGGGACGGTTCAAAGCTGCATGTAGCCTGCGGTGCTCGTAGATTGTTGCTCCCGCACAGTTTGACCTTCAAAGCAGCAGCTCTTCACACGGGACTCGGGGCTTCCCTTATGGACCTCCATCTGCCTCGCCCTTTATCATCTAACCAGCAGACCGAGAGGACCCAGAGCGTCGTTTCTCAGCCCCTTCCTGTGCACGAGCCAAGCTTACACTTTGATGTGTGAAGGAAGTGAATGTAAAAATAAGGGAGAGTAGAAGACAGGGATATATGAGATGAGGAAGATGAGTTCGGATGAAGGCCCGTCCTTCAGAAATGATAAACGAGGTGTTTGAAGACGTGACAGGGTCCGGCCTGATTATCAGCTGAGGTTAAGGGCTCAGATATCTCTGGCTCTTTCATTGTCAGCCATGATGGAAGAGGTGACGCCGAGTTTTCTTCAGCTCAAGTCTTTGCTGCTCGAACACCGGGGTCCACTAACTTCTCCAACGTCTGCAGGGGGGGCACTCTGGACCTTCTGTCAGCTGATCTTCATCTCATTTCTCTTGAAACAGAAAGTCGAGCTGTCCCAAACACCTTCTCATGTCTTCAGATTCATATTGTTCCTTATTTTCCACAACGATCCTGTGCAATGCATTTCTTCAAAACCTATCACAGCCGAGCTTTGAGTTGTTTATTTGTCCAGCCGTTATTTCTACACGTTAGTCTCATTTACAACGAACACCTGATTTAAACGAAGAGCACAGAGGACGTGCAGACAAGAGCATGGGCTCACCTGCAGGAGGGCCACATGCGTCGGGTGCACGACTCCATGGGCAGTGGCACAAAGCAGGGGCCATGGCGCTCTGACCCGGGCTTACCAAAACTGGTTCTTGGGACATGGACTGGGACCTCTCTAGTGGGGAAGGAGCCTGAGCTTGTGTGTGAGGTTGAGAGGTACCGACTGGGTCTCGTTGGGCTCACCTGACACATGGGCTGCCTTGAGCTGTGACCACAAGATTGTTGGTGCTTCTGGTTGTGCTCATTTTCTTTTCTAATCATATCGGTTCATTAAAAATACGTGCAGTTCATAGTAAACCACGTAAAAGCTTCTAGAAGTTGTTCTGGTTAAAATAATAAATGTTGAAGTGTTAGCTAAAAAAGTTCAATCTGGTCCTCTGGACATTCAAAAAACAAAACAACAAAAAAAAATTAGAAACGTTTCGTCTCTCATCCTGAGGACTTCCTCATTCCTCAGTCTGAGGAGCTGTATTCAGCTCAGTCTCTTAAATAGCACCTTCTCAGAGTGGATCAACCAGTTTGCTGCTGACAACCAAAACCAGCTGATCACATGCTCAAGAAGGACCATCAGCCTAACAATGGATCATTAGCACACTGATGGCTGTTTACTACTCACAGAGGGCTGAGTGATACTAGCAATCACAGCATTGTAAGAGGGGGACAGGTGAACCTGGAGGCTCCGCCCCTGTTTAATGATGGACGGTTTCTTTTCACAAAGATGGCCTCCTTTACTCCTCTCTCAAACCATCGTTCCTCTCTGTCCAGGATGTGAACATCTTCATCCTTGAAGTCTGTCACCGTGATGGACGAGCATTTCACTTAATGTTCTGTTGTTTCTGTGCCTGTGGCTCCACGTGCTCGCAGCCTGAGAGGAGTCACGAGTGGCATCAGTCCAACAGCCTCCGCTCATGCTCTGCAGCTCGTGCACACGTTCTGAAACGTTCTGAAACATCGAGGCTCGTTTCACTTAAAGGCTCTGAAATTGTGCTTTTAGTTGCTGACCACCCATTTTGACAGATGCTAGTGCTCTGATCGATTCTGTCTTCACTGCGAGTGTCGTTGCTGGATTCAGACTCGGTGTGAGTCAGAGTGAGCGAGTCGTGGTTGTCGGTGGTACGCCACATTAATCCAGCTCTGTCAGCGCAGCACCAGCTCAACGTGCATGTGCTGGCGCTGCTGAGGCGCCCAGACATGCTGCTCTGGTGTCAGCCTTCAAACAAACATAATTTACAGAGTTCAACTTTTCAGTTCCTGTTTATCTTACTGGTTTGAACTGAGTTAGGGTTGTGGAAAATCCTGACAACGTTGAGTTTTTTGCATTTTAAAATGTAACTGAATGATTGAAACGAGATAAATGACTTGTCCTGTGAAGATGCAGCGGGTGATGAATGATGGCTGAATCTCTTTAAAAGAATGAATTTTGATCATTTTGAACGTTTAAAAGGCCATGCAAAAACAAAAATCGGCCAAACAGCTGTTTTTCAGTAGCTGGACTGAGGAAGTCCTCTGGATGGGGAACAAAACATTTCTCACTTAAAGAGACTAGTCCAGATGAGACGATTTAACTTTTTTATTTTTTTCACTAATGTGTGTAAATCTGTGTTAGTGAGCTCTTCTCCTTTGCTGAGGTAATCCATCCACCTCACAGGTGTGGCACGTCAAGATTCTGATTAGACAGCAGGATTGTTATACAGGAGTTCTTTAGGCTGCCCACAACAAACGGCCTCTGTAAGATGTGCAGTCTTACGACGCAGCGCGACCTGTCCAGGGTGTCCCCCACCCCTCGCACAGTGATTGCTGGACATGGGCACCAGCGACCCCCATCCATCCATTTTCTTTAGCCGCTTCTTCCATTTTGGGTCATGGGGGTCGCTGGTGCCCATGTCCAGCAATCACTGTGCGAGGGGCGGGGGACACCCTGGACAGGTCTCCAGTCCATCACAGGGACACATAGAGACAAACGAGACAAACAACCATTCACTCTCTCACTCACACCTAGGGACAATTTAGAGTTACCAATCAGCCTAACATGCATGTTTTTGGTCTGTGGGAGGAAACCGGAGTACCCGGAGAAAACCCACGCATGCACGGAGAGAACATGAAGACTCCACCCAGAAAGGCCCCTGGACCGGGATTTGAACCAGGGACCTGCTCGCTGAGAGGCAGCAGCTCTACCAGTTGTGCCACCGTACTGCTCTGATACCTAGCCATTACATTAAAAAACAAAATCTGTTTTGGTTGTTGAATGATGTGAAAATAGTTACAACTGATTAAAAATTAATGAAAAATAAAGTAACCTAAATAATAATGAAACTTCAACGGTCTTTGGGACAAAGGATGTTTCCTTTAACTTCACATGTTCTTGTTCATCTTTTAAATCAGTCGCTGCAGATGAGTGAGTGTCAGTTTCTGTCAGAGTTCTGCACCTGGAGCAGGTATTCTGTTTACTGCTTCACTTCTCAGCTGTCTCACATTTTAAGGCTCGGTCCTTCTCCATGTTTCAGCTCCTTTCATGGATCACATCTCATAGAAGAACTTCTAGAGAACATTTGGTTTTGGGCCGTTATCTCGTTACAGGACTCCTGATGTTTAATTGAGACCAGACTTTGTGACAAATGGAGCAGGTTTCTCTTCAGATGCTTCATGTTTCATTGAACCCAGACCAGACTCACCTGTGTCAGGTGCAGCTACAAGAACCAAAGAGAATCTTCTTGTGTTTGACGAAGATTTAACGCTGGTTCTTGGAAACATTCAGTTTTAAAAAGAGCTGACCTAACTTTACTAAAGAGCAGCAGATACAGCCACTCAGTGTTTGTCCTCAGAGGAGCAAGGAGGAGGGAGGAGGAGGGAGGGGAAGGGAGGAGGAGCGAGGAGGAGGGAGGAGGAGCCAGGAGGAGGAAGGAGGAGGGAGGAGGAGGGAGGAGGAGCGAGGAGGAGGGAGGGGGAGGGGGAGGGAGGAGGAACTGCAGGAGGACGTTTCTCCTGCATTGTTGGCTGCAGCAGGTGCTAAATAATTTAAAATAATTAATTTTAAATAAATTTTCATGCAGATCATGCGGCTCATTCATCGATCAGCCAATTGTGTTTCATGTCCACTCTTATTTTGAAAAACCGCGATAGAGCGAATCCGTGATAAACGAACCGCGAAGTAACGAGGGACTACGGTACTTTGTACTGTTGGATGTAACTGGGACCCTGACTACATACTTTAATTCCACCACATGTGATGAGAGGACAATAAAACTGACTTGAACTTGTTGTGTTGACAATATCAAGAGATTAATTTAGATATTAATATTTAGATATTAATATTTAGATTTTTTTTTTTTTATAATGTTCAGTGAACTATTAATGACTGGAAAAGATCTGAACCCAGAGAAGAAGTAAAACTTCACTGTCCCTGACAGGTCTCTCCCCAGATTAGACAACAGTTTGATTTGCAAGACTCATGAGTTTATATTCATGCATTCAACCTTTATTTATTTATTTATTTATTTATTTATTTATGTATTTATTTATTTACAGATTAACCCTAACCCACTGAGCCTCAGGGACTCATTTACAAGAGAGACCTGAGCGATGACGTCCACTTTGAATTCTTCAGGGCTGCTGTGTTTCTCCTACTGAACTTTATATTTGTATTTGTGTTTTATTGCATTTTGTTCAGTCAGAGATTAAATCATGTCACAGTTGTTTTCTTGAGACGTTTGACAGGACTCATGTCTGATCAAATAAAATGTCATCTTTTAATTAGTTCTGAGTCACACATTGTACCTGCAGCACAGTTGCAGAGGCACAGGTGAATATCGGACATACTTTTATGCAACAAAAATAAAAAGCCAAAGCCACATTTTATTTTGTTGAGTATTCTTGATGAAGCAAGCTCAACAGTAATTCCCTTAGAAAGCATCACATATGACACAAAGCGTGACGTTTCTGTAGAATGTGCTGTTGGCGGATCACAACCAGAATCATCTTTAGCTGTTGAAGTGTGAACATTTAAAATGCCCCATCATGGATCAAACTTTACACGTACATTGTTGAACGTTGGAAGAACGCTGGAGTTTGAAAAGGCTCACGATGTGAAACTACGTCTTTGTCTCTTCTCTTTCTGACGGCTGCTGCGGCTCCTGCAGCTCATGCAAAGCGCACGAGGACAAGTTTAGTGCACGCTCCTTCCAGATGGTGACACGATGTGTGTTTGTGCATCGCCAGTTCAAATCAGGTAACTAGTCGTGTTCTTGTGTGCCTCGTCTCAGCAGGTGTATCCGTGCAGTAACGACAAGGAGTGCAGCGTGGGCAGCTACTGCGACAGCCCTCAACAGGCGCCGTCTCGCTGCCGCACGTGCCGCAGGAGGAAGAAGCGCTGCCACCGGGACGCCATGTGCTGCCCCGGGAACCACTGCAGCAACTGTGTGTACACACATGCATCATTTTCATCCATTTCACTCTTTAAACGTTTGCATGGATTACCTGTAAGTTATTGGACAAGGCAACTTGTTAAAAATCTAACGCACAACCGGAGTGTTGGAGCAAAAACTGAGGCCCAGACGTAAAGAACCAGAGATCTGAAGAGTTTCACTGAGTGATGCTCCACGTTGCCTTCCCTCTTTGTCTCACACAAGAAAATGTCCCAGATATAATTTGAAATTACACTCAGACACAGTTTATTTCAGGTTTAAAGTCTTGTAAAGATAAGACGATTTACTTCTGTAAGAAGTCAAAAAATAAAGAAATGCACAGGCACAGTTGGTAAAGCTTCTCAGCAAGAAGGTCGCCGGACAAAATCCCAACCGGGGGCCTTTCTGGGTGGAGACTGCATGTTCTCTTCGTGCTGCGTGGGTTTTCTCCAGGTACTCCAGTTTCCTCCCACAGACCAAAAACATGCACGTTAGACTGATGGTGACTCTGAATTGTCCCTAGGTGTGGGTTATACCCAAAATGGAAGAAGCGGGTAAAAGATAATGGATGGATGGATGGATGGATGGATGGATGGATGATGGATGGACGGATGGATGGATGGATGGATGGATGGATGGGAGGATGGATGGATGATGGATGGATGATGATGGATGATGGATGGATAATGATGGATGATGGGAGGATGGATGGATGATGGATGGATGATGATGGATGATG